CGTGTTGCGCAACGTTTTATATTTATAAAGGTTTGTATGGGATGTTATCGGTTTGCCTTAAAAGAGAGAAAAAAATGTCTTGTTTTGAAATAAAATGGGCTTACCTTATTGCTTTGTTGTTTTCTTTGTTGATTCCGAGCGTCTCAGGCCATTTTGAAGCGTTTTCGGCGAGTTAGCGCTATGTTGGTGTTCAACTGCTAAAAGAAAGACAAGGCCGGAAACCTATTTTAGAAGTGTCCGTCGCCCGAAGCGAATAATTCCGCCAAAAAATTACCACCAGTCTCGATTCCTCCAGAAAATCAAAGCAGAGATGTTGCAGTTTCATTTCCATTCACTCGATTCCCAATTCCTCCCACAGATCTTTCACTAGCGATGCTTTTATCTCCAGATCGATCGGCTTTCCAATTTCGAATTTGGCTGCTTGAAACATTTGCGGGCCCATTGGCCGATCGCACAGTATGTTGGGTAACAAAAATAAGCCCGGCGAGGGTAGCCAGCGACCTGCAGTCGACAAACAAACCAGTTAGCTCCCCTGGTCCCCTCGAGAGGTTTTGTCAAGACCGCATTGTTTTGATCGACCAATCAACATCGAATGGAAATGTGTGATCAAAACAATGCGGTCTTGACAAAACCTCTCGAGGGGACCAGGGGAGCTAACTGGTTTGTTTGTCGACTGCAGGTCGCTGGCTACCCTCGCCGGGCTTATTTTTGTTACCCAACATACTGTGCGATCGGCCAATGGGCCCGCAAATGTTTCAAGCAGCCAAATTCGAAATTGGAAAGCCGATCGATCTGGAGATAAAAGCATCGCTAGTGAAAGATCTGTGGGAGGAATTGGGAATCGAGTGAATGGAAATGAAACTGCAACATCTCTGCTTTGATTTTCTGGAGGAATCGAGACTGGTGGTAATTTTTTGGCGGAATTATTCGCTTCGGGCGACGGACACTTCTAAAATAGGTTTCCGGCCTTGTCTTTCTTTTAGCAGTTGAACACCAACATAGCGCTAACTCGCCGAAAACGCTTCAAAATGGCCTGAGACGCTAGGAATCAACAAAGAAAACAACAAGGCAATAAGGTAAGTCCATTTTATTTAAAAACAAGACATTTTTTTCTCTCGTTTAAGGCAAACCGATAACATCCCATACAAACCTTTATAAATATAAAACGTTGCGCAACACGGTAAGAGTCACGTCCGCTTTTCTAGTAGTGAGCTTGGGCTGCCTGTGACGTGATCAACAAAAACAAACTGTTGTGTTTCAAATCTCCTGACCTTTGTAATAAATGCCTTTATATTTAGGGCTGTAAAGAGGAAAATTCTCATTTTATTTTTAAAATTTTTATAATAAGCTCCCGTGGTGAAAGTATTCATTCGCAGTGAGGGTTGTAATGATCCAGGAATTACACCAAACACATGTGGTATCGCCTACATCAAAGTGAATGGAAAAGATTATTCTCCACACATCAGAGGCTTTAATGTGGTTATCATCAGCGCTATAACAGGTAACAAAGGCCAGGCCTAGTACTTATCGTCTTTTGGTACATTGAGAAAAAATATTAAAAAATCAAAATTGAAAGAAACCTGACAAAATATCAGTGGCCAACGGACAGTTCCAGGCTGTACACGACGATTGTCTTTAAAACCACCAGTTGTCTCCAGTCCTTTGTTTTTAATCGATTGTCTCCTCTGAGATCCCAGACCATCCCAGTCACAAACAATTGACTAGCATCCTTTGCAGGTAGGATGAAATAAAAAAAAAATCTTACAGAGTACTTCCATGGGCCTATTTAAGCGACCTAGAGTTGGTATTTTAATCAACCTGGATCATCCTGAAAAGTTACTTTTCTGAGGTGAAATGAAAAAGGAAGTCAAACCTTGCCTCTGACGATTTTCCAGAAAACGCCAACCTGGTCTTTGCCTTTATTTGCGGCACATACGCCAGAAGGTAACACCGCAGTCTCGCTATCGACTCCATCGTCTTATTCAATGATAAGGATGTACTCGGTTCAAAAGCTGCATGGTTAACTCCAGTTTGAATAATTATTAGTTCTTTAATATTTCTTTACAATGTACGTACTCATTGTAAGCCTAATTGTAGTAGAAAGGAAACATTTTGGTCCCCTTTTCATTTTCAGGTACCGTTCTAAGGGCAAAAGGATTTGACACTCATGGCAATAGTTCCACTGGTTGCAACCTGAGAGACTATCTTAACGGCATCAAAGGAGAGTACGTACCGTGTTTAACGCTGTAATTTAACCATCATAAATGTGGCGTCTGATTAATCAAAAATCATCGATCCCAAATTATATTACCCCAGCTGTACCGTTTTATATTTGCAATCTCTTTAAAGAGATATATTTTTCTATTTCTGGAAACTGTTTGGGATTGTTACCAATGTCGAACGCATCAAAAACTTGTCAGCAATAACTTCCATCCGAATCTGAATCTGAGATATGCCCCACAAAACGAGATTCAGATAATTCCGTGGGGAATTTATTTCAAAATGTTAGATTATTTGAACATGGAGTATTTCTGTGTCATTGCACTTTTTTCGCAATAAATTGGATTTGTTTGCCTTACTCACAAAAAAAAATGTTTGTTCCGATTACAGAAAAATCGTTCTGGTCGCCATCCAAGATGAAGGCTCGAAATACATATCACCAGCGATTGACGCTCTAAAAAGAGTTGGGGCTACTGATGACCTCCTCTATCTGACAGAGTACAGAGGATCTTTTGCTTTGGTGGGATTTGCAGGTGTGAACAAACCACCTTGGATTGCACAACAAACCGCCAGGGCAGGAAGGGGACCTAGTGAGATATCTCTGACAATTCCATCATTTACAGGTATCTCTTCGTTCTATTTAAGCGATGGAACACATTTCTCCGGGCTCCACAACGTGACGCCGGAAAAATACGTTCTATTAACAATTATTCCACGAGCGCGCGTTGGATATGAGATGATAGATAGCCAACGAGACGCGTAGCGCCGTGTTGGCTATAATCATCTCATATCCAACAAGCGCGAGTGAAATAATTGTTTTATTAAAAAAACGTCCCCAAGATATAAGACAAATCTTCTCGACTTTATTTTGTAAGAAGAAACCGGATGGTACAAGGTACAGATATTAGCCTGGTATATTGGCTCATATAACATGATGGCTAAGCAAATCAAAAGTCTTGAATTGCATTATCCAATGATCCAGTTTTTAATAATTGCTTTTATGACACAACGAGTTACCTGCGGGCCCCATAGCCTGATTAAATATCCGTTTGGAAAATATATGGACAAATAAGACGATTTATTACATCCATTTTGAAATCACTGGTGGTCCCTGTAATCTGATTGGCTCTAATTGGTGCGATTTATTCCCGAATCGCACCATGTTTTGTTCTAAGTCGCATCATTTTGACTGAGTTTTTGACACATGACGTCAGTCTTTCTGTTTTGCATACAAAATAAGATGTAAAATCGTTTCCGGTTCCACTTATTATTTAAAAACCGGCTCAGTACTGCATCAGTAAAATATTTGAATTGAACAAGTCCTGTATTTGGGCGATTTCAAAATGGATGTAATAAAGTGGTAATTGAACCTCGTGTCTTACAATGTTGGTCTGAAATCATACTTGTGATTTCAAATAATAATAATAATAATAATAATAATAATAAAAGATTTATACCGCGCCAGTATCCTACTGTTCAAAGGCGCCTACAAAAACTTTAACATTAACACTTAAGACAGCTAATATTAATTATAAAAGGCTTTTCTAAAAAGAAAAGTTTTTAATCTACTTTTAAAAACAGACACAGACTGAGCATTTCTAATTTCACTTGGCAAAGCATTCCATAATGATGGTGCTGCTACAGAGAAGGATCTTGCGCCATATGTTTTCAAGTTATAGGATGGAGAAACCAGAAGGTGCTTGGATGATGAGCGTAGTTGACGCGATGGGGTGTAAGATGTAAGCAAATCACAAATGTACGACGGTGCCAAGTTGTTAAGTGCCTTGTAGGTTATAAGTAAAATCTTAAAAATAATACGTTGATTAACGGGAAGCCAATGAAGATTGAAAAGAACAGGCGTAATGTGATCATGCTTTTTTGTAGGTGTGACGAGGCGCGCCGCGGCATTCTGGACGCGTTGTAGCTTTTTTAATAGTGTAGGCTGGTGGGCCATACGAAAGGGAATTACAGTAATCCAGCTTCGAAGATACAAACATATCAACCAGCAATTCAGTAGCGCTGCGCGCTTGTTCGATTTTGAAATCACGCGTATGACTTCAGCCCAAATTGCACTCCACTCAGTTCAGTTACCATTATAAGTTCTATGTTCATTATTTTATAATCAGTGATATGTCTCGTAGAGAAATGTCAATTTTTATACGAATGAACGGGTCAATTACTGGGAGACAGTTCGCGCATAGACTAAGAACGTTCAGGCTCGCGTGCGCTGATATCGGTGTGTATCGATTAACAAGCTAAGATAACACCTTTCCCTTCTGTAGCTATCAAGGACTTATATTACAACCAGCCTGGCCATTCCTGCAAGGACATCCGGGACTCGGGTTTCTTTAAAAAAGACGGAGAGTACTGGATCGACCCTGAGAAGAACGGAAAGCCTTTAAAGGTCTACTGTGACATGACAGCTGACGGAGGTAAGGCGAAAATGCTCGAGAATGTTAAAAAAAGAAAAGGAATTTGATTGGTTTTGAGATTCTGAAATTCTACTTCATGAAACAGACATCATGTTTGATGCACAAAGAACTAACCTCATGTTGGCTTCGTATTTTGCAGGAGGCTGGCTTCTTGTATCCAACGTTGTGGTGGACGACCCATCCTCGCGAGACCTTTGGATTGAGTCATCATACCGCGAAATCAGCAACTGCCACAGCAATAAAACGTTGTTCATCACAGAAAATGCCATGAAAGAACTGAGAACACACTTATCCTTCACTCAACTGAGATTCCACTGCAGTAAACAAAAAGGACGCACGTTCCATGTTACCACGGCTGCTAATAGCACTGGTGAAGGTGTAGTCCAGTACTTCAGCAAGCAGACCGATACTCGTCCCTTGGCCTGTGGATCGTTCAACCGAATGAAAGATGATAACTCCAGAACAGCTGGACTTTGTAACCAGTGGTTAGACCAAAGGTGGAGCGAACCTTCTTTACCGCAGGGAAGATTGAACAATCATGTTAATTATGTCCCAAATCTACATCACTGGTTATTGACTCCTGGAGGCTCAAGATGGGAATGTGACGACTATAACTTTCGAAATAAAGAATTTTTTGGAATATCCTCTGGCGATTTCTGGAAAGTTTTTGTCCGTTGAGACCTAACAACAGAGACAACTTACGTCTCCTTACGCTGTGTAACAGAACTTTTAACCTCAAATTAAGACGTTTTATTAAGTTGATTAAAGAATCCAAGCTTCAGGTTTTTTACACAAAACGAGATTCAGAAAATTCTGTGGGGAAGAAATCTAAAATGTTAGCTTATTACTACATGGAGTATTTCTTTGTTGCGCTTTTTTCGCAATAAATAGATTTTTTTGCCTATCTCACGGAAAATCATCTTTGTTCCGATTGCAGAAAAATCGTTCTGGTTGCCATTCAAGATGAAGGCTCAGTTTACATATCACCAGCGATTGACGCTCTAATAAGAGTTGGGGCTACTGATGACCTCCTCAATCTGACAGACTACAGAGGATCTTTTGCTTTGGTGGGATACGCAGGTGTGAACAAACCATCTTGGATTGCACAAAATGATGCCAAGGCAAGAAGGGGACCTAGTGAGATATCTCTGACAATTCCATTATCCACAGGTATATCTTTGTTTTAGTCAGTGATATCGATTTGCGAAACGTATGTTTTAAACAAGTAAACGGGTCCTTTACAGCGAAGCAGTTTAAACATTGACTATGCACGCACTATTAAGCATTGAAATCGGTTTGTGATGATTAACAAGCTAACATAGCACTGCATTTCCTTCTGTAGTTATCAAGGGCTTATATTACAACCAGCCTGGCCATTCCTGCAAAGACATCCGGGACTCGGGTTGCTTTAAAAAGGACGGACAGTACTGGATCGACCCTGAGAAGAGCGGAAACCCCTTAAAGGTCTACTGTGACATGACAACTGACGGAGGTGAGGTGAAAATGCTACAGAATGTTAAAGAAAAAAAAGGTTTGACTGTTTTGAGTTTCTGAAATTCTACTTCATGAAACAGCCATCTTCTTTGATGCACAAAGAATTAACCTCATGTTGGCTTCGTTTTGTGCAGGAGGCTGGCTTCTTGTATCCAACATTGTGGTGGACAACCCATCCTCTCGAGACCTTTGGATTGAGTCATCATACCGCGAAATCAGCAACTGCCACAGAAACAAAAAGTTGTTCATCACAGAAAATGCCATGAAAGAACTGAGAACGCACTTGTCTTTCACTCAGCTGAGATTCCAGTGCAACAAACAAAAGGGAAGAATGATCCACGTGACCACGGCCACTAACAGTTCTGGTGAAGCTGTAGTCCAGTACTTCAGCGGTCAGACAAGTCTGCGACCTTTGGCCTGTGGCTCGTTCAACAGAATGAAAGAGGATAACTCCACTTTAACTGGCGTCTGTCACCAATGGAAAGATCAGCAGTGGGGTCACGCAGTGCCTTCAAAGGGGACATTGACCTATCATCCTTTTTATGTCAACGCCTGTAT